CTCCTCCTGGCCTGGGCTTGTCTGGCCCAAGCCGGCAGGCACAGGCGGGGGTGGTGGGATGGGGGTGGTGGGGTGTTCTGGTCTGGGGCCGGGAGTGGGCAGGAGCTCACTCACCTAGTTCCAGGTCAGTCTGCGGAGGCGGAATGTAAGCTAATTTTTAAACTTTTACAAAAGAATATCACTCCTTCCTTGGCCTCCCAAGTTCTGAGATTACATCTAAGTATTACTCTTTCAGAAAGAGTATTTTATCCCTGAGCCTTGAGGAGAGAGGTTTGACAAAGACATCCCATTTAGGACAGAGCGTTCCAAAGTTTCTCACTCTCTGCACATTGTCCAGTTGTGGGTCTCTGTGTTAGTTCTCATCTACTTCAGGAGGAAGCTTCTCTCTGATGAGGGCTGAGTGAGAAACAGATCTATGAGTATAGCAGTATGTCACCAGGAGTCATTTTTTGCTATGCTCTTTGAACAGAATAACAGTCATAGATTTTCCCCTAGGCCCATGATCTATCTAGTCTCAGGCTCTTGGCTACTTCAGTAGTATTAGGTATGAGTTCTGTCTCATGGTGTGGGCCTTAAATCCAATAAAAAAGTGGTTGGTTAACTTCATAACATTTGTGTCACTATTGCACCAGTATATTTTGCAGGGAAGTTGATGCTATAGATCATAGGGTTTGTATCTAGGTGATACTGATGGTGACTTTTCACCTCTAGCAGCATGCAGAATACTTTCCAGGACCACAAATGCTAGTAAGTAGGGGTAAAGTTTCTAGTTGGGCACCAGGTTGTCTTTTTTGGGTTTGATAGTTTAAGTGTTGTCTTTAACAATAGGGCCTCCCCATTAGATTGTGGAGAGCAACCAATAGCCTTGGCAATAGCCTGTGGTGTTTGAGAGTCCATGAGATTACTTAGGCCAACAGGGATCTATGCAGAAGAGGAGCGATCAGATTTTAAGAGCTAGAGGTGGTGGATGACTCCAAGGCGTGACCCTTCCAGACACAACATGTCTGATGTGTATAGAAAATCACAGAGACTGAGGCACCACATATAGGGACGGTTCAAGCCAGATGTGATCCCAGAACTGAGAGAGGAAGTGAGTACCATGTCCATCCCTTACCAAGATGTTATTTGCAATTGATACGTGCTGGCGAAAGGAAAATCAATTTTCTCCAGAGGAGTGCCACTGGGAATATCAACCACACTTCAGGGCAGGTCCCATGTCCAGAAGTAAACGACCAATACAAGATGAACTCCGTGGTGGTGGTGGTGGTGGTGGTGTGTGTGTGTGTGTGTGTG